AGGGATAAAACTTAGTTTCTCGCTGTCCCTGAGTGAAATTATTGGTGTTTTGGCCCAGCCCACCAGCAGCTTTGTTTAGTGCCTGCCTCGTGATATAGCCTTATTCTTTGAACATCTGAAGCTTCCCTGAGTTTCAGGGATGGGTAGACCCTGTCCAGGGTGCCTCCTGACCAAATGGCTGTCATTGACCTCTTTGCTGCCTCTGTACTCTGGGATCTTAGCACCACAGATACTTTTGGAGGTCCTGTGCCAGGGTCTCTTTTGAGAGCCACTGGGTAGGACAGACGCTACAGCTCGGGAGGACACTGGAGTTGTGTGTTGAAGAGGGTCCTACCCTGGGTCCTCTCCCAGCAGCTGTCACACCACACGCACTTCCATGTGCTTCACGTTGTGTTGTAGGAATCAGATGAAGTGTGACGCTGGGGCGCCTGACTGACTCAGAGCTTGTGTCCCTTAATCTCAGGATCCTGAGTTCAAGCCCCACATTGGGCGTGGAGCCTAGTTAAAACAAAAAAAATTAAAAGAAGTTCACACAGAATCTAAGTGACCTTCTGTAACAAAATGCCTATGTTTCTGGGGTTGCTGAGCCTCCTGCTGGTAGCACTTGCACACTCTCTCTGCTATGCCTCCAGGGCTCAGAGAACTCAGTTCCACTCTGTGCCAGGCACCTGAGATTTATTAGCTGAAACCTGGGGCTACCATGAGATGCAGCAGAGGAGTCCTGCCCTGGCTCTCCCCCTCTTGCTCAAAGTCAGGCTTGCTCCCTCTACCCCAGGAAGCACTTTCCTTCCCGGGCCCAACCTAGGGTCATCTTCTCTTTTGCCACCTCCCCCCGCCCCTCCCCGGCAGAGTAGCATCCTTCTGTCTAAACCAGCCAGCCTGAGTGGTGAGAAGGGAAGGATTGGCTGTCTGATTATTTCCCCAGCACAGGCCCTTGCCCTCTCTGGACTTTTGAGCAGTGTGTGCGTTTTCTCCTGCCTGCAGATGTCCCAGTTCATCGTCCAGTGCCTGAACCCTTACCGGAAACCTGACTGCAAAGTGGGAAGAATCACCACAACTGAAGACTTCAAACACCTAGCTCGCAAGGTATCCCCTCTCCCCTCTGCTTGTGGTCTGGCAGTGTTCTGGGAAAACCGTGTACCTTTCACCACAGAAAGTGGCTTTTCTTTGCCAGAAGCCTGGGCTGGGGACCCAGGAAGAGAGAGGGAAGGTCTGGGAAGAGAGGGCACCCTACTTGAGGATAGGGTTGGTGTTTTCTAACAGACTTACAGAGCTGAGCTTCCCCTTTCTGCTGACCCCAGCACCAGCCTGCCCCAGCCTGTCTCTTGATTCAACCTCAGTCTTGGTGAGAAGGGCCCTGAGGCACCAGGCTGGTCCTCCCCCGCTAAAATCATTTCCACTGTGGTCTCTCTTCCTGTGTCCTGGACAGCTGACTCACGGCGTTATGAATAAGGAGCTGAAGTACTGTAAGAACCCTGAGGACCTGGAGTGCAATGAGAATGTGAAACACAAAACCAAGGAGTATATTAAGAAGTACATGCAGAAGTTTGGGGCTGTTTACAAACCCAAAGAGGACACTGAATTAGAGTGACTGGTGGGGCCAGGGTGGGAGGACAGGCGAGCAGGTAGGACAGACTCGGAGAAATCCTGCGGGCCCGCCGCCCCACCCCTCTGTCAGGGCTATGCTACCGGTGGACGTGTCGCCCTGGGGAATTCAGACCCACAGGTTTTCAACTGAAAACCAGGAAAATGAGCTCCATCTACAACAAGTGATCCCTGATCACTAGCCGTTGGGGTGTGGCTGGAGGCCCATCAGAGGCAAGGGCTTAGGGAAGGACCCTGCTAAGATCCTGGCCAGGCCTAGCCCCACTCCCAAACCTGGGTCTCCTCCTTGGCGGTGCTGTCAGCGCACAGACCCATGCGCGTCCCCACCCACGACCCCTCACCCTGATGATCTGTATTATATTTTAATGTATATGTGAATATATTGAAAATAATTTGTTTTTTCCTGGTTTTGTTTGTTTTTCGTTTTGCTTTTAGCCTCTACGTGCTAGATCACAGGAAGACTTTGTAAGGACAGTTTAAGTTCTCCTGCAAGGTTTAATTTGTTATCATGTAAATATTCCAAAGCAGGCTGCCTTGTGGTTTTGGCCAGCCTTGTGCTATGTTGATAAGATTGATTTACTGCTTAAAATCACTTTACTTTATCCAATTTTTACTGAACTTTTTATGTAAAAAATAAAATCAATTAAAGAACTTGACACGTGTGTTCCCTAAAAGCTAGTCAAGCATGTTTCTATATGGTGGTGTCACTGGAGAAAGGAGCGACGGTTGCCATAGGTGTGTGAAGTCCAAAGTTAATCCTTGAACTTGGAGTTCATCACAGGCCTTGTCCCCAACAGGTCTCACTGTGACTGACACTTTTGGCCCTGGGATCTTGTGCCTGTATACAGGGTGGAATCAGCTTTAACATGTATTCCAGAGCAAGGAGGTGGGCCTCTGGGCTTCTTTACTTCAGTTTTAAATAAGTCAGTCTGGAGAAGGGCATGAGAATTCCCCTTTATACTTCCTGGCTGAGGAGGGGCATTGGCCCTTTTCCCTCCAGAACTTGAGTTCCCCAAGCTCACTGGGACGCTCCTTTGATGTTTGGGTTCCCTGACCTCCCCCACCATGCATCCTGACACTGGGTTTGGACACTACGGGGTACAGTGCACGGGTTGTGAGAGTGGGCAGCTCCTGGAGGATGCAGGGCTCAGTGGCAAACCCCCTCCCGCCACCCTTTGATGCACCAGTTGTCAGTGTTGTGAGGAGAGCCGAAGGCTTCAGGCCATCTGGGGCTATCTTTACAAAGAGACTGGTCCCATCTCTTCCTCACCAGGGCTCTTTTGCTTCCTGCAGCAACGCCCTTGGGGAAGGGGCTGTTGCCTGCTAAGTCTCGGTTGGGCCAAGTGGATCAGTGTGGATTGGTGTGCACTCACCTGCTGCGGGTTACACGGGTTATGCTGGGCATTTTTCGTGCTCAGGTCGTGCCCATTCGCTCCTTATGACCCTGAGGACGGGAGTTGGTGCTGTTTGGATGAGGAAAATTCGGTTCCTCAGATCCTCGTTGTTAATGAAGGCGAAAAACCCCCATTTAAAGTCCTAATCATTAGACCCACTATTTAACAATATAGACAAAGTGTTTTCCCATGCTACTGCAGCCTTCAAAACTGTTTAAAGCACATATTATATCGAATGGATGGACTCTGATTCAGCCCTCTTAACATCTGAGAGTTATTCAGAATGTTTCAGTTAACATGCACATTAAAAGGGAGCGTTTCTCTCTTGGGTGGGCTCGTGGTGCAGGGGAGCGGCCCTGTCTTCTGCTGCTGCTCGCATGCAACCAAGTCAAATTCATGGTTCGACCCAAGGCTCCAGGTTTCAGATTTTCTAAGGAAATTTAGGTGGCCTCCCATTAAAGGGTGGTGACCAGGGAGCTGTAGAGTTTCAGACAGGACACCTTTGAAGAGGAATTCTGTTATCTTAGCTCCCTGTTTAGTGTTCCCCAAATCTTTCCCCTTCCACACACCTCTTGACACTTCAGACTCCAATCCCCTCGGTTGTGAGAAGGGGCACCAGCTAATGCAGAAGCTGTTCGGTGCCCCTCGGCACAGGCTTCCACATTCATCGCCAGTCCAATCCTTGAGAGCCCTGTGGGTGGGCGACTCCCTGCCCAAGTAGCTGCGAGGTCGAGTGCACCGGTCTCACTTTAGCGGACTAGATGCTGGGCCTTTCCTGCTTTCCCTCCTGGGTTATTGCCCAGGGGTCGTTTTAGGCTGGAGGTGGCTATAAACCTCCCCTTCCTTATTTTAAGCAGCCAGCCCCAGTCACCTCTGTCAGCCAGAGGACAGGATCTCCCCAAGGCCTCCCTAGGCCACCACGGAATCCCACGACTCCTGAATTCGGGTGGCTGTGTTGGTTGCGTGCCCTGAGCCTCATGGATGTCAGGATGGTGGCCCCTACTCCTTCCTGAGCAGGGCCCATCCGTCGTAGGAAACCCTTCCAAAGGCCGGTACCAGCCTGCCCACTCCTCCTTTCAGGGTGGGAGGGGATGCATGGGGTGCAGGCGGTTTGGCTGCAGCTGCCCTGCTCTCAACTGCCCCTCAGGTGGGCGGGATGACCTGCTTGCCCTTGGCTTGTGTGGAAATCACGGAAGCAGCCGTGGAAGCATGTTAGGAACTCCCTCCGGAGCCTGGAGCGTGGGTCTTACGAGGAGACCTTTCTTCCTTTTTCTCAACTAGCAGTGACCTGAGGCCCTCGGTAGCTGGCTTCCCAGGGCCAGTCTGCCTCCAGTCTCCTCTTGATGCCAGTCACAGCAGAAGTCACAAAATGGTCTCAAACCCCAGGCCCCTCAGTGCCAGTTTGAGAGTCTAGGGGTGGGGGGGGGGGGGGGGGGGGGGACTACCAAATGTGCCATTCTATGTATTGTTGTCCAGCTAAGAAAGCTCAAGTTTAGAAAGGTAAAAATCGCTCCCTGACACGCACAGCCAGCGAATGGCAGGGTGCAGATGTGAACTCCAGCCTGTGCCTCCAGAGTGCTCGCATCTTCTACAGGAGCATGCTGCCTGCCACCTCACGTGCTCCTCCCACCTCCCGCGGACCCTCTTCTCTTTCTGGGCCTCTGCCTCATAGCAACCCAACCGTCTCTCAGGCCCAAGGAGTCAGAGGCGGCACAGTAGTCCAAAGTTGCCTTTAATACGAGATACAAAAATAGAAAAACCAGTTGAGGCTAAGTGAGGGGAGGTGGGGCAGGGAGGAGGGCAGGACCACCCCTCACTGCTGACCCCCCCCCCATCCTGGTCCCCGTCCTGGAGGAAGGCCGGACAAGGGGAGTTGAGTGGTGGCCGGATCTTCTCTGTTCCCCCAGAGCAAGGCAGGCTGAGGCCACCAGTGCCAGGAAGCCCAAGAAAGGAAAAGCACCGAAGCAGATTCCCTGAGCGGCCGGGCTGTGCCGGCACCGCTCACACCACAGAGCAGCCCTCAGCTGGGGGGCGCAGAACCCGGACCACGTCTTCGCGGCCCATGGCAGCCAGGGCGTCCTCTAGCACCCCGAGAGTGGCACCGCTGCCTTCTTTGACAGCCCAGTCCCTCAGCAGGGTGTAGGCTGGCACCTGGTCCTGGGCCATGACCTCCACAGCATCAGTCTGGTAGCCCAGGCGGCCCGCCAGACCCTGCCAGCCCTTGTCAGGTTCGTCTGAGACTTCCAGGAGCCGCTCCACTTCCTCCTGCTGCTGCTGAGGGAGGTGAAGGTAGAGGCGGCAGCCAAGCTCAGGATGTGGCCCTAGGGTGGGAGACGTGAGGGGCACAACAGGGTCAGGTGGGCCGGGTGCTACGGCACAGCCAGGTGTGAAAGTCTGTAGATTGGGAAAGGGGGCTCACCCTGACTGGGGGCGCAGGGCTCCTGACCGCTAGGATTGTCCAGGAAAACAATGCTGTCTCCGTGCCTCTGGTCCCTGTCGAAGGTCCCCAGCTCTGCAGTCCGAGCTTTGGCCAACTGCTGTCTTTGTTTATGGGAGCGCCAGCTGTGGGGAGCAGGGGGGACCCGCCAACCTGTTCCAGCCTTCACTGAGACAGAGGGAGCTAGCTGGGAGTCCAGCTGGGAAGGGTGTGCCACAGGGCAGTGCCCAGACTACTCACCACTTGAAGGCCACGTAGGCGAGCAGACCGAGGACCACAGTGGCCAGGAGGGCACAGTAGACAGGGATAATGCTGCCTGAGGCCCCTGGAGGCTCAGGAGGGAATGGGGAGGAGGTATTGGGGGCCAGGGCTCCCCCTCCCCATACCTCTTCCCTGTCCCTGCCCTGTACCCTCCAGGTCTTATCTGTAGAGGAAAGGACAAACAGGATCAAGGGCAAGGAATCAAGGCTAGGATCCCTGGGTAGCCTCACTTAGACTTGGCTGCCCAAAAGGTTTGAAACAACAATCCCTACTACGTAGAGTCAAAAACTCATAGCATGGCATCAGGAGCTGGTTGGCCATCTCTCGCAGCCTCCCCTCTGCTCGCCACTCTTGGACACCTAGCCCTTCCCAGGTGTACCCTTCTCCTAGGTTTCCAGACGTCTGCTCTTGTGGTTGTACCCTCTCCATCTGACACACTGGCAGGTACCGCCTACTTGGGGAAGACCTCCTTGATCTCTTCCAGTCTCTCCCTTTCCTGGCTCCTGTTCTACTTCCTCTGTCTACTGGGGCATTAGACTGTGTGTCCTGTCTCTCCCACCAAGTCCGGGAGAGCAAATGGATTCATGGTGGTCCCGACGGGGGCTTTTCTGCACACGAGACCTTGTAGATTTGTACAAAATAAAGCTGAGCTGGAAGGCAAGTAAATGCTGCTGCTCACTTCTGCCTGGAGGCCAGTTATTTCCACAATCCGGTGCAGGCAAGGCACGAGGTACAGGGACTCCAGAACTTGTAACTGGACTTGTGTGTGACCTACCCACCTAGCCAGTGCCCCCAAACTTCGATTGACAGTTACCTACCCACGTGGAGCTTACCTTCCCTGTGGCTGGAGTTGTGAAGCATGGCTCTGCTGGCTAGCAGTGCTCCCATGGACTGCATCTCTTGGAGAAGATGTTGGAGTGTCATTCCAACACTCAGGCAAAGGAGCTGGGACACTTCTCGGAGTCCAAAAGGGGCTATGTGTAGCAAGACGGGAGAAATTCCTCAGGCCTGATGTCAGGAGTCCCCTGGTAGACTCTGTCCCCCTCTCTTGGCTCACTGCATCCTGATTCACCCCAGGGCTGGTTACCACCGCCCCCTCCACTTCCCCACTTACCAACCTGGACCAGTTTCCGCCGGTGTCAGATGGGGGTGGGGTTGACAGAGCTAAGCCCCCACTGGCCAAAGCTAGAGGAGCCGGCAGCTCAGGATGGAGGAGAGCAGGCTGGAAACTTCCCTATCTCAAAGACCTTAGCAACCCCCCTGGTCTGAGTCCAGAGATGGTACTGGAGGACGAGCAACTCCCATCCCCACCTCAGCCAGAGCCAGACCAGAGGCCTGCTTAGTGGGAATCTCCCCCAGACTTCTCAGCATGAGCCTGGGAACCCCACACCCTAAGTCTCTAAAACAGGGCTCCCTGGAGCGACTGTGGCCCCACTTCTCCAGGATCGGTATTTAGCCCTCACTTCCTGCTCAGAATCTGGACAGGAAGGTTCCTTGGTGGGTTCAGCAAGGGCAGAGTATATGGGCTCAGAGGCCCCCTTGTCCTTGCTCATCTGGGAATTGAGAGGCCTTTGAGGCTAGAAACCTCAAGGCCAGGACTACTCAGTCCCAGGACCCATGTAGACCACGGGGCGGATCCTGCTGGGACCCGCTTCCTAAGGTCTGGGTAAGAGAAGCCTCCTCTGGGCTGAGGAGGGATGTTGCCCGGAAGGCACGGACAAGAAACCTGGGGGAAGGCCCTCTAACTCCCCGACATCCACCACCACATCCGGCCTTGTCTCCAAACTCACTTCCCCACCCAGTGTGCAAGTGGGTCTGGGATAGAGACGGCGGTGGCCCTTGCCACATGTGGGGCTTGTACAACTGGGTCGCTTACCATATAAGGGGCCCTTCCCGGATCCTG